AAAAACTTTCCTCAAAAATTGCAAGATTTAAAAAATAACTGAACTAAACTAGGTTTCACTGAGCTAGAAGCGAAAGATTGAACTAAAATTGGAATCCAGTTAAACGAATATAATTTAGTTTATTATCTCAAAAACCAACAAAAACTTACTCCTACTCAAACAAAAGAATTAAATTTAGAACAACTGAGAGCTGAATATCGAGAATACCAAGATCCAACCTGACAATATATTCACTCAGATTTCACTCCAGAACTACAAATTGAATGAAAAGATAAGGGTTTTCATATTCTGAAAATTGAACAATGAATTCAAGAAGGCAAATTATCAACTACTGAAAGTTCTTTCGCTAAATATTGTCAAACCAAAGGAATTTTACCTGCCATCATAGATAGTCAACAATTAATTAAACTACGTAAAGAATATAATGATCAGTTAGAACTACAACTGCAAGAATATCAAAACCAAGAATCGCTGTTTACTGAACAACAAGAAAACATTAGATACTTAGAACTCAGAGTCCAAGAACTAACTAACTTAATCAGACAAAAAAAAGAAAAGATAGTAGATATCTTCACCCGTCTTTTACCAGAAAAAGAGCAAGAGATAAGACTAATTCAAAGCTTAGTAATTGCTCATTTAAAATATACTAAAGCTAAAAAGCAAAAATTATCTTCAATTATTAACCTCCGCAAACAAAGAGATAAACTTCGTGAAGAGCTAGAAGAATTATTAGGAGATAGTTTACTGAAAGAAATTGAATTTGCTTTGGATGACTGCGAAGAACTAGTTATCTGAGAACTAGAATTAGAATCTAAACTCCAACAAAAGTCCCTCAAAATAAAAGAACATAAACAAAATCCAATCTTACAAATCACAACTGATCAGGAATCATCAGAACTAATCTTAGCCCGCAGAGAAGTTATTACTAATGAAGAAACAATTCATCAACAACAACTAAAACAGTCACAATTAGAAAAAAGAAACAGACTTAATTAAACAATTACAATTTAAAGACCAGCAAATCCAAGAACTAACTAACCAACTACAGAACACCTTAGATTTCAATCTAGCTGAAAAACAAGAGCAACTAGCTAACTTACTACAAACAGCAGAAAGTAAACTAAATCCAAACAGTCAAGCTATGTTATCTACTTGACGAGAACAATTAGGTACTAATAATAATGAGCTTATTCAACCACTCTTAATGAAGTTCTGTCAAGAACAATTATCTAAAGAAGAATGAGAAAGCATTCAAATAAAACAAGAAGAGTTAAAGGTTCTTAAAGAAACTCAAGATAACCAACAATTAACTCAGTTGCAAGTTATTCCTAAGTAAGTTTAAATTAGTCTAGATTTGCTATTGAAAGCATTTATTAGGTAAAAATAAGCAATAAGGAAAGTATTTTGTTCAGACTAATAAAAAACTATCATAAAAGTTTCCTAATCAATATTCTATACAAAAATGAAAAAAAGAGAATTTAAAGAATATCTAGAAAAATATAAAAAAAAGCAAGAAAATAATAATTTCATCGCAGATAAAGATCACGCAGATACTTATTCTCATCAAGATTTTCAGGTTCTTATGTATGATGGAAGTGGAAGACGGACTATTGGTCTGGAAAATATAAAAGCAGAAGTTGATCGTCGTGAACGCGAATGAATTGCTAAATATGGAAGTTCATCATTAATATCTGCTCACAACATAAATAACATTTATGTAGATACGTCTGGCAGTATGACAACCACCATTAGGGATATTAAAATCAATGATGCTGAAGATATTATTTTTTCCTATGCCAATGGATGTTGATACTGAAATGACATTTTGTGATGAAATAGAGATGACGAATAGAGATGGATTAAAGGCTAAAGCAAAAAAGCTAGAGAGAATCGTTACATCATTAGAAAAAGACATACTCGACATAAAAAAGGATATACGAGACATGCGCGAAGAAATTAATGCCCAAAAATGACTAACTAGGTATTACTCTGATAAAAAAGTTAAGAAGATCACACTAAAAACTAGTAGTCTCTTCTTTTTAACATTAATTGATTCATTAGTTATTAATAACTATCCTCATCTAGTAGAAATAAATATTAGCGGCAATAACCTAACTAATTTACAAGTTAAAAATTGTCCCCAGTTAAAAGTATTAAATTTTTCTCATGGCAAAATAACTGAGTTAAATCTGATTAATTGTCCTAGTTTAGAAGAGTTAAATCTGAGTTATAACCAACTAATTAACTTAGATCTTAAAAATTACCCTAATTTAAAACTTCTTAATTGTAACAATAATTATCTTATTAACTTGGATTTAAGTAATAGCAATAATTTAGAAGAAGTAAATTTGCTTAATAATAACTTTTCTAAACAAGACTTATCTTTCTTAGTTAGTTTAGTAAATTGTCGAAAGTTATGGCTAGGAAATGATGATGAAAAAAGAATCAAGTTCCTGTTTAATACTTTGTTTTTCTTTTTTGACATTATTCAAATTAGCAAGAAGATCATTTTTTTCTTCTTTAACTGAAATAAGGGTTTGTTGAGTAGTAAATAGTTGGGCAAGAAATTCTTGTAATTGTTCTTCGAGCTGAGTTTTA